GGGGGGGTGGGCAGTGGGCAGTTAGGAAGGTACTTCACTAGTGTGTGCAGGTGGAGGCGGCTGCTACACAGCAACCACCCAAGAGTGGTTCAACACACTGAACAGATGACAACCAGGGCAGAGTGACCTAGGGCTGGGGCAGCAGGCAGGACCGCCCAGGGCAGGAGCTGTTCAGGAATCCAGGACACATCCCTCTGAGAAACTCCCCTCTCACCCCCACCAGAGAGGCCCCCACCCGGTCAGGCACACTAAAGCAGCAATCTGAGACATTCACAAGGAGAAGGAGTCACTGCTTGTACTGAGACATTCCAGACCAAGAGCAGATTCACAGCAGAGGGACAAGGAGGAGTGGGGTCAGAGAGAGGGGCAAGGGTGAGGCAGCAGAGGAGGCAGGAGACGAGCCTAGGTAGGGGACAGGGTGACACAGGGGGCAGGGAGGAGAGCAGGGGCAAGACAGAGAAGACACCCTGAGCAGTTTGCAGCCCCTGCCAGCCTGATGCCCAGCCCTACGCACACTCACAATGCTCCCACCCTTCATTACCTTTGGCCCCCCGAAGCACGAAACCAAAGCCCTCATGGTCCCGTTTCTGCAGGATGGCCACCTTGTCATCAATGACATAATCGCTGATGGAGGAAAGCAGGGAGGGGTAAGAAGCCCGCAGAGAGCAGGGCTGGCCAGGCTGACCCCATGCATACCCCAAAAGGATCCCAGGTACACCCACCCCTGGGAGTTGCCCTTGGACTGACCTGGGAGGGCAGAAGACAGAGGAGGGCTGGGCACCACCTCTCCCTCTTTTGACCTCTTCACCCCTGGCCTCCTCAGCCAGCTCTCAGCCTCCCTCTATGTCTGACATCCCACTCACATGCATGCCCACCTGCCCACCTGCCCACCTGCCCTGCTGCTGGTACCTGTGAGAGGTAAGGCTGTCATAGGAGCCCACGGTGTAGTGGCGGAAAAGTCGCTTCGTCCGGTCCTCCCGGGTTTCTGAAGGGAGTTTCAGTTGCTGATGGAGGGTCATGTCCTCCAAGTGGCCTGAACAACCCCTCAGTGGTCACCAGCTTCTGCCCACACCCCCTGACCAGGTTGTGCCACATGGAAGGTGGAGGCAAATCCTGGGTCCTAGGCCCAGAGGTCAGAGGCCTAAGGTGACCATGTGGGAAATTCTGGCCCCTGGGGTCAGGCTCCAGAACGGGGCAGGAGCTGTGGGTCATCTCTCCCTGATGCACATGGCAGGCCAGACAAGGCCAGGTTCATCCACAGAGCCAGAGCCCGGAGCTACCAGCAAAGATGTGCATGTGTGGCCGCAGTCATGTGTAAGTGCTATGTTCACACAGGCACATGTCTGCATTTGGCTCACAGTCATGTGTAAGGGCTGTGCTCACATATGTGCTTGTGCACATGCATGCCTGTATGTGCATGACCAGTCATGTACCCATGCCATACTACATGCTACATGTCCAAGTGCACTGCTGTGGAAGTGGCATTGTCTTCACTGAACTCCTCACATGGCCCACTGATGCTCAACCTCATGGGTCGCTTGCTCTAGGTCCTGCCTCTGAGTGCACAGGGGGTCCTGGTGTGGGGGGCTGGGTCCCCTTTCCTCATGTCACTACATTGCACAGAGTTTTGTCCCACTTACTCTTGATCTCGATGTCCCTTGCAGCCACTGCAGAGCTGGCCAGCCATCTGCCCGCTGCCCCACCCTGGACCCCGTGGGCCCCTGCAAACCTGCAGGTTCTGTGTGATGCACATGTCCAGCACCTCCCTGCTCCAGGCTCACTTTTCCAGCAGCTGGTGAACCATGTTCCCCTGCCCTCCTGGCCTCCCAGCACCTCTGCCTCCAAGGTGTTCTCCCCAAGACAGTTCCACTGCCCTCCCATTTCATCCCTCAACTCCTCCCTCGTTCCCCACCATTTTAGTATCTCGAGATTAATTTATTCATTCAACAAGTATTTATTGAGCTCCTACTGTGTACCAGGCACTGTTTGTTTTAGGCTCTGAGAATACACCAGAGAACAGAACAAAGCCCCTACACTATAGAGTTTACAATCCATTCGAAGAGCGAGGACAGACAGGAACTACGTATATACGTGACGTGTCAAATGCTTGTGAGTGTGAAGAGGAAGCAGGACAGGAGACAGAGAAAGGTCACGGTTCTAAGGTGGTCCCATGAAGGCCTCCCCAGGAAGAGACAGTTGAGCAAAGGCACACGCCACGAGGCAGCCACCACAGGTTGCGTGGGTAAAGGACTTCTTGGGGGTGGGCACTCGGGGCAAAGCCCACGTGGCAGGCATCGGCCTGAGGGGTCCAAGGTACAGAGAGCAGTCCATGCCACTGGAGCAGAGGGAGCGAGAGGGAGCAGGAGGAAATGAGATCAAGTGAGAACCTATGATTTTTGATGACCAGTATCTTCCACTAATCATGAGCTGTGTGCATAAGGACCACATCTCATTCATTTCTGTGATCCTAGCACTTAGCACAGAACCGAACATATAACAAGCACTCAGCATGCTAACTAGGATAGATGGGTGGACAACTGGCTGGGTGGCTGGGTGGGTGGACAAATGAATATATGATGGATGGAGGGGAGGACGGATGGAACAAGGAGATAGGTGGAGGGACGGACAGAGGGCAGGAGGGATGGATGGAGGGGTCAAAGGGTAGTAGATGCGTCAAGAAACGGGTAGGTAGACTGGTTTGATGGAGAGGGGATAACTAGATCGGTGGGTGGGTGGATGGGTAGGTGGGTG